AAGGAGTCATAGTTGATACCATACTGCAGAACAGCAGGGCCAGGCAAACATTTTCCAAAGGAATATCAACTCTAAGCAAGGCTACAGAAATTTTTGGCACAGCTTAACATTACTCCCCACATCACTATGTCTTTCAAGGGTTAACAAAAGGTCCGTTTATTTTGAGCTTTTCACAGGCTTTCATCCAATAAGGAAGTTTCTTTACTGGTCCTGCAACATTTCTCCTAACATAAAAGATTATTCTAATTTGGGTAACAACATAAAACAAAGCAGCAGTGGATGAATTCCAAATACACCATTATACCAAAAAGCAAACACTGAACAAAGTGTCAGAATAGAGAATACAGCAAAGTGTAAACAAATAGCTTTGTGAAAGAGAGAGGATTTGTCCCCATCTCAGTTAAGGACAAAAAGCCTCATTGAAAACAAGCTCGTGAAGTCTAGTAAGAAAAATCAGGAAATGCCAGAAGTATGGCTGCGCTGACAGCTTAAAATGACTCTTGTCATGCAGATGCATTACCTTTTCATGTATGAGCATTCACTCTCTTTCTCTGGCAGGAATCCTGCCTCATGCAATGCACAGGATAGCGTGGCTGCAGGGAAGGACCAGAGCTACACAATATAGGAGCCTACTGCCTCTGTCAGACCCACCTCATGTATCATTTGGGACCTGCTGTGTGAGACAAGGGTTGGTACGAAGGGAACAGACGCTACCATCCAGGAAGCTAGGAATGCTACTCTGAACAGCTGGACTTTAAGTTTGTGGAAAAGGCAGGGATAAATTAACTTTCAAAAAGTGATCGCCCACTGGACCTAATCCTTATTATTAGAGCACTCGGCTGGAAACCTAGAAGCTTTATTTGCAGCACTGCTCTGCTCATGTTGTGTATCTGAACACACATACCCAAAGTGGTCCAGAAAGAGCCAAAACTTGCATTCCTCAAATCTACATTCAAAATTAGTAGGGACTCTACCTGATTGTGTGCCTCAGTTTCCTCCCTCTACAGTAGGATAACACCATCCCATCACCTTCCTGCAATTTTCTGAAGATAAATGGTTTCAAAGCACTGTATCACCAGAGAAAAGTGCTTAGAAAAACAGTACTTCTGTCTTCAGGGAATGCTTGAAATAGCACACAGGCAATACAGCAGGAACAGTGCATTCAACAATGAAGAGGAAAACACCCAAATAGCTGTTCATTAGCAGCTGTGACGTTCATGTACAATCTATCCCATGACACTATCCATCCTGTGCACTGGATAAAGTGAGATTTGGTGGCACAAGATAGTGTTTAATTCATGGATTGTACTATGTCATTATGCCTTCTCACACAGGAACTGTGCAGTGTATCTTACAGACTTCCACCATCCAGCTTAACCGTAACAATGACAACATGCACAATTGAAAACAGGCCTTGATGAGACAGGTTGAACAAGTAGATTAGATAAAAAAGGCCTGAAAATGCCCTCTGATTATTATTAGATCTAGCTAGAGTAACATTTGATGTATTATAGAAAGTTCTGATAAAGAATGTATGTTACTGCAAAAGCTGGAAACATTCCCTGGGCCAAAAAGGCACCAAGTATCAATGGTACTATTTAAAGGACCGTAACTGACAGCCATGACATCAGGCCTAGTATTTAAAGATCACTATTCTGCTTATCAACTGTTTTCACTCAACCGATCATTCAACTAATAGGAAAAGAAAAGTGGGTTTGTTTTATTTCAGGAATACTTTTAAAGCAAGGGTATACTTGCAGGTAAACAAAGGCAGGTGAATACATTCCTACACTTTTCCCAGCTGCCAAGCTCCTCCAGATTTTGGAGGTACACTGTGTAGATGAAAAACTGCGATATGCACCAAGCTCCTGAAACCCACCAGCACAGTCATTCTCCATGGAGAGTAGCACAAAAGGTAACTCAAGCGTATCACTGCCATGTAACTGCTGACTGTGGAGGAGCTGTGCCTTACTACCCATCTCCTTTAGTCTTCCCATCACTTGAGAGTCCTGATCTCAGCCTTCCTTTCCTCTGCTCTACGCTTTGTTCCCTCTAAGTTTACATTATCTTGAAGGACTGGTGCATGCAGAGGTTTACCAGTGATGGTGGCACAAAGCAAGCTCAAGAGAATCACGGGGTTGGCTTTTATCAGATGAGATTTGAAAGTGAATGGTTCAGACTGGGGTAGAAACTTCAGCCTGTTTTCTCAGGACGGAAAACTTTTCCTCAGGATTCCAAATTCCTTTCAATTAGACACACTAAATGCTTGCACATGAAGAAAACCCACCAAACAAACAAAAACCCCAACCAACCAAACCAAAATACCCACAAAACAACAATAACAAAACCCAAACTAACAAAAGACCCAAAATGCACAAACCAAACAAAGAAAAAAAACCCAAACCAAACCCCACATGGTCATCAGAATCTAACACAAAAAAGTTATTTGGCTGACATTAAAAATACCAGCTGAAGTAGAAAACACAGCATGAAAAGCTTCAGCCCAGAGCTGAAGTTTGGCAGTGTTACAAGGCAACAGAAACAGGGTCTGATGAGATTTGACAGGCAGCTTTAATCAAAACTGTAATACCAACCTCACCTCGGACAAACATGTAAAGGGAAGCGCATAATGCCACCAAGTAAATACTTTCAGTAACTGCAGATTTAATTAAAAATCAATGATTAAGCAAGCAAAAAATGAATATTTATGAGTTGTTACTACTCACCAGAGAACTATTCACTATAGTTCCACATCTTATTTTTAGCAAAAATACCAGCTGATCACGATTATTATAACAAACGATCAGTCTGGCTGTCAAGTTTTATCAGATGATGACATGGATAATAAAGTCAAAATTAAGCCACAACCTATTTAGTTTCAGGATTAACAAATAAACAGTTTATGATGCTTCATGGTTAGCTGAGTGAGAACCGGGCATACCAAAATGTTATGCCCATTAAAGAGCTTATCCAAATGCCGATAGGCAAGCGTAATAATCCATCTCCATCCATTATGAAAAACTAAGGAAAAAAATTAAGGTTATCAGCGAAATAGTATCTGCTGCTACTGTCAAATAAAGTTAAGCTTGACTTTGGAGAGACGTTACAGCTTGCTACTGGGGAGGGATTTTTAACAAAACACATGCAAGACCATAAAAAAACCAGTCAATTTCTTTGGGAAAACAAGTCAGGTATTTCAATTTACTGGGTGCACTCTCAAAGCCATTCATCTAGATATCAGCTATAATGCAGTAAAGTGCTAAACCAGTTCCACAGACTGCTTCCCTACTGTGCATTTTAACTGAGGTAAAAAGAGCAGAAGGCAGCTAACTGTAACATAGATGCCATGAGTAACTTCTCACAGTATAAAGTTATCCGGCAGGAAAACTCCTTGAGGTGTAAGGCCTGATCCCTCCCCTGTGCAATCTGTTCAATGGTCAGTTTTCAGTCGTTTCTTTGCTATTTGTACCAGACCATCTAGCCATTTTACTTGTGGGTGACTTACTCAGTCTCTGTGACCACTGAAACTTTGCCTTCTGCTAACCTAGCATGAAAATTTATTCCTTTTTATTTGGAAAGAAATGAGTGCTCAGCTCTCATCATGTTCCCCACGTTCCAGGTGCTCACCTTGTACTCCAGTTTTCAGTGGCTTATCAGTAAATGCTAACAACGGTGACCTGGACCGCTGTGTAACAGGCAAGGTTGGGTCACTGAATGTTATGGTATCCTTTCCACCTGAAACAATCCAAGCGTTAGAACCATTAATTCACCAAATACATCCATCGCGCACTAATGATATTCAAACATATCCTACAATATTTTTGTGATGTTATGGAAAAGTACAGAACAGGATAAGCATCTCAAATGATCCTTTTACAGCACGGAACAAATGCGTATTCCAGCTCCAGGACAAAGTCAGTCAAATACAGGAAAGGTGTATGCTTTTACCCCCAGTACTGAGTAAAGGATAGTTTTTGAAGGACAACCAGGTGCTGTATGCAGCAAATTGTATTGGCAGTTACCATTCAATTCAGAATATTAATAATCGAATCATACCAGAAGTTTTACAAAGAATAATGGATCATTTGCATGCTATTAACCAGTAAGCATCCAGCACTGACTCTTTACTCTCTCTTACTGTGCCTCAATGATGAACCTGCTGGTATCACATATGTAGTTTTATGCTACAGACTCACATATTATCCTACACTGCTTCCTTAAAGAAAAATAAAATAAATTAAAAGCTTAGCATAACTAAGTACTAAGGGAGTAAGGGATTTTAATCTGAAAATTCCAAAAGCATTTCTGAGCATTTTCATTTTAAACCAAATGGAGAAGGGCAATTTTCCAGCTCTTCTGCAGACAAAATAGTGCAAGAAACTCTTCAGCTGAGGACTCTGCTGTAGATGCCTAATCTTTACATATATTTGCAATACAGAAAGCAACACCTGCAGATCCTTCAGGAAGTCCTCTGCTATTCACGATGCTCACGTTTTTAGTGACTGACACTACCTTAAACCTAGAGGGGAAATGGCAGGAAATGTGCAAGATCAGCTAAGCGTGGTGTTTGTGTGGCCTCCAGAACAACTGCCAACCGGTAAGTAATGGCTGGGGAGGCAGCAAGCTACTGCTCTATTTATCTCCATAAGAATGGACATTTATGTAACAACCACTTCTCCCCTCTAAATCTGCTTGTACGTTTCACCTTAAGGCAACATCCTAAATCTAATCACCCATCCAAGACAAAGACTTTCAAAAGAGCACCAGGTCAGGAGATGATACCCAGAATAAATTCAGCTCCAAGAAAGTTCTGGTACCTACTAAGAAATAATGAAAGCCAAGCTGTTCCCATGGAGTCTAAAATGGATCACCCCAATCCCTAACTACTTTTGAAACCACTGGCTGTAAATGCCTTGATCCTGAAGAAATTAATGATGTTTTTACATCCTTAACATGTTGGGGTATACACTGTAACAATACGAATGCAATTAATGCTTTTGAAATGCGGATCTTGTCAAGCTTTGATCTCCCTGCCAAGTATGCATCAGAATTCTGCCTTCACCATAGCAAGTAATAAACAATAATATTAACTAACAGCAAAGTGGAGAACCCCTGCCCCATGTAAGGCAAAACTAATTAAAACAGGAGGGGAAAAAAAAGGCAAACCAAATCCGATGGCTATCTGAAAATGCAAAAGCCCCTAAATGAATGCACTTCCCTGTAACAGTGAAGGAATTTTGTGTTGGAAGAAGAACTAAATCATTCAGGGAACTAGTGGTATGAAAACATCCAAAAGATATTCATACAGAGTCAGAAGTGGCCACGTATCCAAAAAGATACAAAAGAATGCAACAGAGGAAGTAAACTTTAAAGAGATTAATTACGAATAAAAAAAGGGGCAGAGGTGGGTTTTAACAGGAAAGTAGAAAGCAAAGTCTTTTTCTTTTGTTTTTGAATTAAAAACAGTAAAGCCTGAGCTGAAGTCCCTAAAGACTGCAAAACAAGCTTCAGAAAAGAAACTTCTTGACTTTCAGCCAGCATTTACACAGTAAACAGATTTATTTCCACATTTTTCTCTGAAAACCAACTTGGTTACAGAAAATAACGCTCGGCTCAGTATCCACACATCTAAGCAACAGATGCGGCCCAAAGAATCTGATGCATGCTTATTTATTAACAGTGACTCACATCCATTCATGAAGGAGGGTACTGCTGCACTATAGTCCGTGAATCACGGTCTCAAGTTGGATTACACACAGGGAATTTCCATTAGCTGCCGTGTAAGCTCAATTTCATAACTTATACAGCCTTATGTTCTTCTGTTTAATGAATTTTTCAAGGACTTTAGTGAAAAGTATACAGATCTCAAAATATATATATAAGCAAACAAGTAAGTTTTCAGTAGCAGTAAATTCTTCAGTTTCTTCTCCAGGGTTGGGTATCCTCTCACCACCTCTGCTGCACCCTGCACCACTGTAACTGGGTATACTGCCGGCTGTACTCAGCAGCTGTTGAGCCCATTATTTTTCCTTGCCTTTGCTCCATGCTGATTACTGCAGAGCAAGAGGCAGCACTGAAACTTTCTCATCCTCCCAGACAGAAAAAGGCTGAGTCATGGTTGGCTCTTTTCATAGACTTTTTTTTTTTTCTCAGTGGAAATCTGGAATTTTCAGGAAAGGATAGTTTTAAAACAATACAGAATTACATATTGTGAGAGGAATGAGGTGGTGTTTACTATGAACTATTACTGAATGCACAACACATTATGTGTGCATATTTGAACCACAATGTACCTAAGACAAAGCAAAGAATTAAATGCTTCTGTAACATCACATTCTCTTCTTCCTTCTCAAGGCAAACAGGATCCTAAAAAGAAAATCAGAACCAAATCTATGCCCCAGCTTGTTTTCTTTTCAGCAATGAACCTCACAAGAGATCTGTTTGATTAAAGCCCATTTGCCAGACAGGGGAAGCTAAAGTTTGTGGCAGGCAGAACTTCTGCAGAAAATGAACTACGCTACCAGCTTCGCCTTTCAAAAATTAAATATATGCTCTTGATTTAGCCTCCCCATAGCTCAGTCATGCATTGCTCAAAAAGCAGATGACAAATATGTCACCTAACAAAAAATTAGAAGCGGTCAAGCTCTTTGTTCAATAGGATAAAGTTTATTAACATCATTTATTAACACCATTTGGAAGATATTAATACTATGGTGACAGCAGATGTTATAAATGTTATATGGACGATGATGCCTAAATAGGAACATTAACTTCAGATTAAAACCCTGCAATTTATAATGTGCATCTCTTTTTGTGCTAGACTGAACATCAGCTTTCAGCTCCGTATTTTTTCCAATGAAAAGAAGTTAAACTCCCAAGCAGATACTACTTTTTCTCTTTGGATTTAAGACTGAGATACTCCTCATATTATGCCCCTCACTGGAGCCAACATTCATCTGCAGAGTCCACTGTGGTAGTTCCCACACTGTTTGTAACATGCTGCTGTTCTATGAAGCAGAAGCTTTCCATGCTCTGAAAGAAAACTGGTGACCCTCTAGGTGTTACAAGGCTGTTTCTGACCACCTTGAGACTTGAGTGCACTTAGAAACAAAAGTGCATTCTTAATTTAAAATGTAAGCATCAAATCAACAAACCTTGGGGCTCAACAGAATTTGCAATCCAGTGTAAAATTCCTTTATCACTATTTAAGATCATCCTTTCTTACTATTTTCCTCAATTTAAAGAAATTGTCTTGTAGAGCAGTCTCTATTTCTCTTGTGGTCATCTAACTCACTTGACCGAACATCCTAACCTGCTGGATACAAAAATGTTCAGATAACAGTTCTGTTTATTTACATGCAGTGACAATATTTAACGTACTGATAAAATCAGTTACTAAAAATATATGTTAAGCAGAACCTACTCCCAAATCCCACTGAGATATTGTAGCTCAGGCCTTCAGGCAGCAAAAGAAAGGAAGGAAAGAGACAGTTGTTATTGTACAAACATTCATTTGATGTCTTACCTACATACAACAACAATGGTGCAAGAAGTTCCTACTGTTCCTTTGTTTTAATATATTTTGAAAAGATTAGAAATGCTGCATTTATTAGTGTATGAATTTCATGGAACACTATTTTTAAAAAACAAACAAAACCCAACCAACCAACCGAAAAACCCAACCAACCAAACCTACAGTACCTTAAACTGGTGAGTTTATGATACACATCTGGATTAATGGACAAAACCACATTAGCAGAGTCTTAGACAAATAGTTCACCTGCATCTTTTGGAGAACACGGGGAGGAGGGACAAATGCACTAAGTACCCTATGTATGGTTAAGTGACTAACTGAAGAGTAATCCATGCAAACAAATTTGGGACCTTCAGTTCTGGAAAGCATCAAGAAGAGAGCCAGTTCCAGAAAGGTGATTGCAAGCTAAAGTGGAAATACACCACATCAGGCCAAACAGCTGAACACCGCAGGTTTGTCACAAGGTGCCTTCAGCTTTGTCAAATGTTTTCTTCTAGATGGAAAGGTTAGGTGGGAAAAAAACAGAGCCAAAAAGACAGAAGCCTAAACCACACTATCTCCCACCCCCAGTAGCACTGACAGGAAGCCGTAAACAACAAAGCCTAATGATGCAAACACCAGCAATGGAATAGCATAATTTACAGTGTTAAAGAAGACACAATTAGGTGTAATGGGAAGAAAAGAAGCAAAAAGTAAATGTAAATTAAATATTGCACATTTTCCTAACAGCGAGGTCTATTAGGAAACAGATTAATCTCCCATTACTTGAGTAATTCAAAACCAAATACAATACTTAAGATGCTACAGGGAATAAGCCTGTTCTGGAGAGATGGACTAGAAAATTTAACATCATTTACATTTCCAATTTCTTAGAGTTTATGATTTTACAGAAAGAAACCATTAAGAATACAGTGATAGAACCCATGGAAGTTACAAGAAGTACAAAATTAATAAATAGAACTTGTTGAAAAACATAATGGCCAATATCCTGTGTATCATTTTAGACAATGTTTAAATAAAACAGTTCCCTTTCGGTTTTTGCCTGCAGACTATGGAGACAATTCAATTATTTCCAGTGTTTAAATTTATTTGTTTCCAGTATAGATATTTGACTTTGAGTTTAAAGTGTCCCACGATTTGTGGTTTCAACTTCACATTTATTAGGCTTTTCTAATTTTGCGAATGTGCTGAACAGCACATTCACAAAATGACTGCCATGAAAAAAAAATACAGCCAAGTTTTTCTTAAATGCAAATATACCACTGAAAACTAAATAACGCAAACTGCTCTCTCGAATTTGTACTAACCTGGGAGACTCCACAAGCCAGCAATTTCCAAAGTTCTTAATTTCTTTTCTAGTTCTGCCACTCGATTACCTAGAATTCTTGGGAAAAGAAAACACAAACAAAAGCCAGGGATGGTCAGCTGAGATGAGATTCTTATACTAAGAATACTATACCTTCTTATACTAAGGTAACCAAAGCCCAACTGCTTACATGACTACAGCTGAATTTTTAACTTCACTAGTGCACTAAACCTGTACACGGTCATTTCTTTTCACTAATGGCAATGGGCAACCTTTCCAAGAGTTAAATGAAAATTAAATACAGTTATCTAATCTATCCTGTGGATTTAGAAAATAAAAAAAGTCTGGATGTATTGGACATTCAACCTTTGTCCTTTGGTAAAGACAAAGAATAGCAACTCACAATATATCTATTTCCTCACCTGTAAGTATCTCTTTCCAGTTACTTTTACTTTCTCTACAGCTAAAAGCAGAACGTAAAAGCTATGCAGACAAAATATAGAAAACTCAAGACAACATTTAGATTGATTCTGAAATTCTAAAACACAATTTTGGCATAAGCCTTTATTCACAGAGGTTTCTCTATCACTAAGATTGCTTAAAATGGCAAGGAATATCTTTTCCACTACATCTTTTCTTTTTGTGCCAAACTCTGTTTTCTACTTCACTAAAAAGCTTCAAGCTCTTTAGTGCCTTTATCACCTACTCTTAGTTTTGATTGCATTTCTTGGGTCATCTCTTCTTTCGTGTCTGATTCCTACAAAATGCTATTTGCAGCCAGCTCTCCTGCAGGATTTAACTTTTAGTCTTAATTCTCTCCTCAGATCAAATGAGAGATTTCTATCTTTCAAAGAAAGCCCTTTTTTCCAATGATTTTTTGGAAAGTGTTTCTCTCACAGTCACAGCAAGTCTCCTAGAGTCAGAAGTCTTTAAATAAATCCCAAACAATACTCAATAGGGTGAGAAACCTGGACGAGGCAGCAATTCTAAACATGACAGCAGAGATAATAGACAGCAAGTTTTACTCATCAAATTACAGCAACAGGGTAAGTCGGTTAAATTTGAACTGAATGCTGAGAAGCAGCATATCACAACACAGCTAGGCAATAGCATCTTCCCATGCTCACCTGAGCTGTGTAATACTGCACTGCGTGCTCTCCAACAAGGGTTTTATGCTGCAGACATTTGAACATACTGGGAATGTCATTACTGACAAGATGGCAAAATCTGGGAAGGACGTGAAGAATAGCAAACCCAGCGAATATCAAAGGGGCTAGAAAAACTGATTAACAAGGACTAAGTATTTTTTATATCTCTACAGTGAGGGCTCTGCAGTGACACTACAAAAGCCTGTAAGTATTTTAAAGATTACAAAAATATCAAAATGAGAGAGAGAATGTAAAAGAGAAAAAGAAAGCTTTTAATAAATGTCAGAGAAAGCACTGAGAGGTACTAGGGTGTATATCAACTAAAAAGCAAACAGTCCATCACATTTACAAGGAGAGAAGACATTTGGAAGCAGTTTTGTTTATTTCCCCATTGAAACTCAGTAATCAAATAGGTTACCAAGGTTATGATGGATCTGTTACTGTCTTCTCCAATGACAATTAAAATTGTTCAAGTCGAGATTTCACTTTCAGAATGCTTTCATCATGAGACACTCAGCCTTAACAACTCTATTTTCATACCCAGTGTATGGCCAGACATACAGCAGCTGTGCTCTGCAGTACAAAGGTGACGGAGAAAGACACACAGCAACTTTCAAGAAGCTCTACTGGGAGCTCACTCCTATCTTTGTGTCTAAGGTCCCACCAAGGGTCAGCTGAAGAACATGGAGTTCCCCTGACTTAGAGGGGCAGGAAACAGACAGAGATTCCATGACATATTAGTTTAGCCAAGGAGATGACAAAACGATGTTGATTTGGCTAATGATTGTCACCACAAATGGGTCACTCATTCAGCACTTCTGCCAGGAAAAGAAAAAATTATTATTTCCATAAGTAGTTCACCAGTAGTTCCAGGGCAGAAAACTGTGGAAAGATACTGCCCTCCCTGTCAGCTAGCCTATCACAGAAAGAAACTCAGCCCTTTGCATCAAGTTCAGTTATTGCTTCTGCTCTTGTTATTCAGACAATGGCAAAGTCACTTTTCTTTCACTTCTCTTAAATCTTTTAATTCATTTATCAGCTGCGCCATACAATATCTAAACGTTTTGGAGGAAATATATCCTGATAATTCCTACTGGATCGTCAGAAGAGGCGCTGAGCTATTTTTTAACCTTTGTTGCAGGTTCTCACATAGAAGGATCATTCTGCTGCTCTGAACAATGGTTGGCAAAAAGAGAGGACAATGCTTAACCCTATTCCTTTCATTCAGGAAGAGAGCAAAATACATTCAATGATGTGTATGATTCTAGTTTGTTCAAGCCACGTTATCTGCAGACAGCTATGGGAGAAATGAACCCTACATAAAGCTGCGAGTTCTTACGAAACATTTCTTGAAAAACATGTGCCAGCAAACCTGAGCACTGTGTGGCTTATCCCATTCCTTTCTTTCCCTGTGAATTCCAGACAATTTGCCATCTCTGTATGTGCTGTGCGAAGACTGAGCTGTGATGGCCTGGAACAGCAGGTATTTTTAAAGGGGCTGAATGGGTCGGTAGCATCAAATTCCCTAATCTATTTTCTTATCTCTAGCCATAGTGGACCAGATTCTTTGACTAAAGCACAAGGATCGTGTTGACAAAGGTGCAGACAACTATTTATGTGGTTCTCTGGTTGTGTGTCTAATGCAACAAGGAAGTTAGTCTAAACCTCCCTCCAGGATAAGGTTTAACAGAAATCTGTTGTTTACGTAACAGCAGCAATGCTCCCACATGAATTTAGAAGCTCCCTTCCAGCTCTTCCATGCTTCCCAACATACATGGCTGTAATCTGAAGGGAGCTGTGCTGATTTACAGCACCTGAAATCTATTCACCTCACCTTCCATTTAGACCTTACTACAGAAGACATACAGACACAATCACCCGAATGTCTGTTAGTAGGGTCCGTCACGGTCACGTATCTAGTTCTATACATCACATGAAAACATTTACAGATGACACAATCCTTTCTGTAATTTTGGTCATGACTGAGCGTGCCCAAGTTAGAACTGTTAAAGTTGGTCCAACGTGTCTAAGTAGCAGAGCAGCTTCTACTCTCATCTGGCTTTCCTGGGTGCTGGCAATTTTAGGAATAAATGGCACTAAAAAGAATGTCTAATAAACCGTTTACTGCTGGCAGAAGAAGAAAGATTTTTATCCACTTGCTAGGCAGGGTTAGGACTGTTTATTTTTGCATTTACGTAACTATTTAATCTTGCAACGCATTACTGCATAGAGAACTCATTTACAACTGCCTTTTCAAATTAAGCTAATGTGCTTGTGAGGATGTTACTTAAACTTGGCAGTACTGGCTACCAACCACCTGGGGAAAATGACCTGTTTTCTTCCCAAACAACTTCTTTTTTTTTTTTTTTTTTTTCTCAAAAGTGGGGCTAAAAAAATAAAGGCTGGATTTAGCCTACTTGTTCCTAGGCACATACTCCCACAGCTCCTTTTATCACAGCACATATTTAGAAAAGCAGCAATAATAATAGCGTGTGTGTTCCAAGAGCAAGTGGCAACGGATGTTTTTAACAACAGTATAACGTCAGAAAGTCAACTTCAACAGCACATCCAAATTCTAATCTACATTTTTAAAATCCACTACCTTGTTATTGCTTCAGTTAATCAGAAACCAAATCTACCATTCTGCTATCGTAAACTTCCACAGCCATCTCTCAATCTGCAAGCAACAAAAGAGGTTTTGGTTTTAGAGTTAACTGTTTAGAAGAAAATAAGTTCATATAGTCTGAAAAGTTTCATTTACTGATAACAAAATCACTAACAGGTCAATCATCTATCAAATATCAAACCCAGAATTACCTTGAATGAAACAACCATCCCAAAATCTCACATTCTTTATCCAATAAATCTCACTTTCTTCAAACAGTAATCTAAAGAACAACCATGTCCTCCAAACATGCTCTTTGTGCAGGCAAAGCCAGGCAAACAGGGGTGAAGGAGAAGATTTCTACCTTCTGATTTATGAAAAGCCTTTTGTCATTATAATTCTCACTAGCCCGACATGCTTCTCAACTTCCTACTCTGGAGAATGGAGATATATCTTCAACAAAACAATGCACCTTCTACTGGTACCAGTTTATGGATCTGTTTTACTTGTGCACTGACCTCACTCTCACTGACAGTCTTCTTTGACAGGTGGCCCGTTTCTTCCCCATTTTCAGAAATCAGCAGTCTTAACTTGTAACTTCATGCATGGCAGATAAGTGCCCCCAACAACCAGCTAATGCACCTCAAAAAAGGGATGTTTTTCCTTGACGTCCTATGTTGCATTTCCCTTTTTCACTTCAATGTTTTGTGTCTTAAGTGTTCCTACTTGAAACAGTTCTCGTTCCTCCTAGCTTCTTAAAAGCTTCTTTAATCCAACTAATGCCAAAGGTGACAAAAAGAATGAGTAAACCATATAGGAGTGTTGCTGGGGCTCTTCATTCAACTTACCCAGGATTTATCTTTCTTCCCCTTTCCCTGTCCTCTGAAGCATCTTGAACTGAATACAGCACTACAGCTCTGAGCACACTCCTGACCTGGGAGAGATATAGACTGTCACCTCCCTCCAATTCTATTGGGCACAGAATAACAGTTTGTGCACACATCCAATCTCTACTCCCATGGCTATATATGGCCATTTGGGTATGCAGATAAAAGAATCATACCTCCTTGTGGAGGCTTATCTCAAGAAAACCCATACTCAATGATTGAAAGTGAGACAGTGGTATCAGAAAGTGAAGCCATCATTGCAGTGACATAGTTGAGAGATGCAAGAGACTTAATGTGATCAAAGAGAGATACAAAATTAAGAAAGAAGTCTGCTATAGTTATAGGCAAGAGTATGCAAACTAGAACACTGGGTAATGATACAATATCTGGATGTAAAAGGCTGGTTATAGCTGGAATAACAAATAACAAACAAAAGTTGTTCTCAGAATGTTTTCCTCCTAACGTTACACTAGCAGCAAGAACAGAGTAAGCAGGTGTTAGCCCTTCATTAGCATTGCTCAGTGCAGGAACTCCTCTTGCACTACATGACACACAGACATGAACTGACTGAGCTGCCATCAGTTAGGTATGGGCTACATTTTCACCGCTTTAGTCTCCCTTCAGCCAATTAGGCATTTGCCTTCTCAAGAGTATTACGAGTGGCTATAAACTGCTCCTCTACTTCTGTTGCCACATCACTAAGAATTATGCAATAGAGTCTGCCTAGTATCAGAGTTATCAATTTTCAAAATGAATCATCTATTCTAGTGCAATGCAGTTTACTTCAGTACTAATCCTTCCTTTCATGAAAGATGTCTGCTTCTTTCTGGCATCTGGTCCTGACGTGCTTTTGAGAAGCCTGAATAACCTCTGATTACCAGTAGTGACTCAGTGGTAAAGAAAAAAAAGGCAAAAAAAGAAGAACACCCCCCCCGGCCCTGAACTGAGCACAGAATCATGAACTCTTCCCTAGCTCTGATTTTCATACTCTGTATACGGACAATAATATCAGAATGTCAGGAAATGTGTCAAAAACTATTACATTCTGCCACGATACAGCTGCGCAAGACACACAGAATTCTACTGGGGAGTGGAACAGCTGAGAGTAAACAAACTCTCCCTGAAAGTTCAGTTCACATTTAAAATAAAAACCTTACAGTAGCAATCCAACTGTGCTTATCTTCTCCAACTTTTGGCAGTGAGCAACAGCTATCATTTGTATGACACACAGGCTGCTAGCCTGTGACAAATGTTACACTAAAACCTTTCAGATCCTTTTCTAGGTGCAACATTTACTATGCCCCCAGTGTTCATTAGCAAATTCCTACAAACTGGTAACAACCAATTACCACATACCTCCTCCAGTTCAACGTGTCCCTCCTCCCAGCAGCTTTTCTTTAGCCCTCCCTATGACTACCTGCTACAGGTCACAACACCCCTGTGTTGTTATGGTTTGTCTTAACCCTGAGCAGCAAACCTTGCCCAGCAGAGGCAGACAGGTCTCTTGTCAACCCCAGACTTCGTACTTTTTCTCTAAACATATACTTGATCTTAAAAACTAAAGAACCCACCAGTTAACAATGACAATGATTCTTCTGCGAAAATGGATCTTCTTTCCCATTTCACTGAAACTCCCCCAAAACTATGACTTTTCCCAAGCTTGGCAAGTTCTATTTTACTTAGAATTCATGCAACCTACTTGTTGGTTTGCCTTTGGTGTTGTATGACCATGTTTTTCTCATGGATAGTTTCCAGCAATGCAGTGGCCAGTGATTTGAGATCTGAAATGGACTGTGGTGTGGCTGGTAGGCTACATCCATGATCCTCTGACAACAACTCTTGGACTGTAACATTAAAAACACAAAAGAGTTTTGGCTTCTCATGTAGAGAGACATGACACAAACATTTACTCACAATTAAAGAACTTTCTCATTACTTAAACTAATACAGATATTGTTCCTTTCAATTACAATCAAAACCAAAAGCCCGGAAATGTAATCTCTAGCTGGCATAAAGATGGTGGCTTTCTAAGCTGATCATTATTCCACAGCGATTGCCAGAACAAATATAGGCAGACATATCTTACGTTAATTTAATTCTGCTTTTGGAAAATTATTTTTGTTCAGAAGGAAACAAACTCATTCTTCTACAGGCCTAAAGATCAGTAAAAATCGGTCATTTCTCTCCCACTTACATTAAAACATAAGCCCACAAGGAAGCTTTTATATTACTTTTAAGAATAATTACGTCCTTCAGGTTATTTAAGACTAATGTGAAATTATAGTCAACCATGAACTTTTCCTCTGCAGCTTTTAGAGCCTGTAGAACCTCTCAACTACATCAGAAAGTTTGGTAGTATTGCTAACTTCTGTAACTAGAATCTGGCTATGCCTCTTTAGGTATATCTATCTGTATGTATGAAAGTACATAGAGAAGAGGACAGAAGGGAAGCCAAAAACAGAACAGCAAGTTTCAACCTACCATGACAAATGCTACCAGTCTTGTATGTGTGTATGAATACACCAACACCTAACAGTAGGGTGCCAGGTGTACTGCTTGGCTCAAAGAACTTTCTCTTCCCCTTTCTTTCCTAATCTTGGTATTTTCTTTGAAGGGCAGAAAAAGAGATTACTCCATTTTGCTACCCATGAAGAAACATGGGGCAAAAGGCTTTCTTGCGAAACATCAGAATGTAAAAGCTTCTAAAAACAGTAGCAGACAAGCTGACTTAGGGCCCCACCTCTACCATCTAGCCTATTTTCATTGGAACATGAATTGTGATTGCCATTGTTAGCAGAGCAAAGAGATGAATAAACAAGTGATTTGTCAGGGTCAAAGTTGCAGAAAGGTTTAGAGATTAAAAAAAAAAAAAGAGAGAGAAGATAAAACTGACAGGGGAGAGAATGAACGGCAAAAGAGTAACAAAAGGAGAAGCAGCACTGAAGGGGGAGATTTCATATTGTCAAGTCAACCAAGAAAACGACAAAAAAATTAACACATAATAATAAACAGAAAAGAGAAGAAAGATTTTGGCTCAGTTGGTGAGGAAATGGTTACTGAAATTAAGAGGTAAGACAGAAGGAGGAAGGAATTCAGTGGGATATGCAACACCATGCTGCACTGATGCAATACCTTGCTTTGCAGACAGGACCCCAGTCAGAGCACTACTACTGGATCTACCGTGAGTCTTTGAATTCTTTCGTCTCTCTAGTGCAGTCTAAGGAAACAACAAACATCTTATTTAGAAAAACAGTAGCCAACAAACCCCTTCATTAAGAGTAAAGAATCTGGAGCTTTGTATTTTGGTCTCAGAACAACTCTGCAGGGCCTTACACCCACAGTAACCCACGGGTGTGTGATTCCTGGAGTATTACTGTCCAGCCATAACAGTCTTTGAAATGTTACAAAGACTCACTCTATCTCACTGCTCTTTAATGTAGTCTCTCCCACCCACAACCCCAATACATTTTTCAGGCTTGCCTATTGTTTAAACATCTGAGTGCCAGTGAAGATACTGCAGTATCCTGTAGAGGATATCAGTTGGGAACAAAATCAGACTTTTCCCAGCATTTCCTTGGATAGGCTTCAAAGGGAAAGCTCAGGCTCCTCTATCAGTTTCTAGAAGCCCTTTTAGTAGCAAATACTGACTTTCAGGAATTAGCAACAGAATGATCCTGCTACAGAAGTCCAGCTCTTCCAAAACAATTACAGTTCTGTGAAACTGAGTCCACCAAGATGCTCAGTTCTCACCAATAAACTAACTCACACTCTGGGACACCCAACTCGTAAGTGTGAACAGACACTGAAATGAACTTGGTACTTTGAGCAGCTTTGCTCATGCACAAAAAGCAATCAGTGCTGTGACTGTTTCATAGTGACCTAAATGGTTCAGAAGTCCTATTGACAGTTTTAAAACAACCCTTCTCATGCCCTAGCAAGCAGTCCTCCCCTCTCACACCCCAAAATCACTTGCAGACAGAAATGGAGTGCTTGACTTCAGGGAAGAGCAAGAATATTTTGCCCTTAGGATTCAGTCCTGAAGGTTTCACGCCAAACAGCATGTATCTTAACCCAGGAATGGAAGAACAATGAAGACTTATCAATCATTAAGCCACCTAAAGAAATGTGTGGCCATTAGAGAACAGGGAAACAAGGCCTGTTTGTTACAGCAGCACAGTTGCAGTCGTTCACCACACACTGCATGACCTGCTACTTCTTACCTACCATCAGGCTGGAAGGCTGATCACCCTCCCAGCAGCAGGAAGGCTTCCACACAGAACTTAAAGACACTTAATTCATTTTTCTAAATACTCAGTGGGTAGCCTTTTGTACTACATCAGCTAAGAAGCCTACAAGGAAGACTGAGCATGTAATATGTATACATTCTAATATGGTCAGAATGTTAATGGTGGATTTTTCTTTGAAGACACAGTTTTGTTCTTTAAATGCATATGAACATAAGATTGAACAATAACCTCCATGAACAGTGAAGCACAGTTTAGATGATACACTGAGAGGATCTTACCTTATATTTAGTAATATTAGACTTCAGAAGGTTGACTTCCTCTTGAAGTTGTTTTAATCTTTCTTGAAGATACCTGAAAAAGAAATGTAATCCTTTACTTCATGTTACCTTCAAGTACTGCCTCAAGCGTTCCCCTTTACTATTCGGCATGTCCTGCCTTTGAACTACTGAGAGGTTTTTTCCCTCTGCAGTTCTGTGAGGGATAAAGTAACAAAATCTTACTGCTCTTGACCCCATAAAACTTTAACTAGGGAAACAAATGGCATCAGGAAAGGAGGCTGCTCTTCGGTTCGATTTGTCAAGCATGATGCACAACCATTTTACATCAGTCCTTAGGTTTTGGGGGAGGGAAGCTAAAAGGATATATTTATGGCTAGATGAAATAGGAAGCATTTAGTCGTGTCCTCTGTACTTGAAGGTCTGTGAGACGGACACATGAAGATTTGTATTTATGTCAACACAAGACTCAACTATGCAGAACATTTGCGTTGCAATATCCATCACTTACATGGCACTTCTCATTAGCAATCACAAAGGAGAAAATTTAACAGTATAGTTGAAAAATAGTATACAGTTAACTGAAACAGTACAGTTCTTCCTAATAGAGTTTATGCACTTGTATTAGATGGCTATTTCCACATAGGAAAATAGCTTTTTCATGTATAAAGGGTTTATAAAATACCCTCTTTCATGTAGTGCAACTGCAGCTGAATTAGGGTTTGTGACAATTTAACTATTTCATAGAAAAAAAAAAAATCATCTCATTGCCAGGGGAGCAGGGGGCTTAAACTGATATGGAGCTCTGCAGGCCACCGAAACAGAAAAAAACCCTGGAGTTCCTGGGAGGAAGTAATGCCTTTGGTATTACACTTTCCTACCTGAAGCATAAGTGTCTGTAAATGGAAAGTGTCTTACAAGATCTATTTCACTTTAAGGTAATTGTTGTCATTAAGGGAGGTGCCTGCTATGGCTCTGTCAGTGACTCCTCTTTGTCATCCTTAGCAGAGACCAGTAACCACGTTTTTTACCAAGAAAATGGCAAAAATACCTTTTAACTTTCATTCTTGGATCTATTTTACCTGAAGTTTTGTTGTGACTGACTTCCTGATGCTCCTGTTAAAGCAATACCCTACTTGTTCTGGGGCAACAGTAAAGTTTGCAATGCACTCACCTGTTCTCCATACATAGAGCGTCTACGTCAATGATACGGTTTTCATGCCCTCCTAACACATGATTAAGTTCTTGGTTTAGTCTGTCAGACTTATCTTGGTAAAAAGAGCGTTCCTCTTTCACATCTTGTAACTCATCCAGTGCAGCCTGAAGATCGTATCTCAGAGTCTCAATCTGAGAAAAAAAAAGGAGAGCTATATGAGTACTTTGGCATTTAAACAAACGACTACTTAGCACCCAAACTGAAAACAACAACACCCACTGCAAGCCTGACCAGGATTGATACTGGACAGTTAAAAGTCCTTCCAAAGCTCATAACCCCTGGTACTTTTACACTATTTTAATATTATTTCATTATTTTGAAGTTAAGTAACTTTAGTAGTTAAACTTGTTTTACAAAATTTCTAGAAAATAGCTAAAATGTAACACCTTAATCCCCACTATGATTCTGCTACAAACACATGAAGCTGGCATTAGCATATAATTTCTAGGACTTGTGGAATGAACTCAACTGAGTAAGAATTTGGCAAGTTTGGAGGATGATAAAAAAGTCTGTAAGGGGGAGTATCTACTAATATACAAATTTCAGCAATAAAGTTCCACACAACGGGAAAAAGAACTGAGAAAAGTACAAAATAAGCTAGCATGGAGTTGACGGAGTGAGCTTTGCTATTAAGCAAAAAAGTGAAGGAGTGCAGTATGAAAGATACTCACTCCTTCAAGAACAAAAAGCTTCAAACTTCCAAGGGGAGGAAACAGAGAGTGTAAGAAAAGTCTGCAATAAGTTGAGAAGTCTTCACTGGCACCTTATAAAACACTGGTAAGTCAGGAAGGACAACAGAAGACCATGTGACAAGAAGCCAGGTGATGAACAGGGAGAACATGAGCTTGGGAACAGAGATACCAGAGAGAATCACAGTGGAAGAAGACCAAGTGCAGCCAAGAGTCCTTCTGGCAAGCTGAAGTAGCACTGCACTTGAGTGAACACTGAAAAACAAGAAATACACACCTTCTCCTGGATCACAGAATGGCTTATTCAGGGTGGAACTGGTAGGAATGAGTGTGTGAGCAACAGACAACACAAATACCCCAAATTGTACAGAAAGCTATCTATCAGGATTAGGGAAGCAGTCTGATGAACTGGATGCTAGTATTAATGGAACACAGTATTAATACAGGTAGGGAAAAGAGGTGTGATGCAAGAATTTTTCCAAAGGGGTGAAGAAATATCTAAGAGGCAAGAGGAAGAGGAGACTAACAACACTATTACAGAAAATTTGATTCAGAGAGTATCTTTAGGAGTTGCATCAGCCAACACATATTGTGTTGAATACTCACAACAGCTTTCACTAACAAGTGTCTTGCAACAACATGCATCAACAATATTCAATTGTCACAAGTTGTTGCTGCACATTATACAAAGGGGAGATTCAATCATCTAGAAAAGAAACTCCTGAGAGCAGGAAACTCACTCTAACCACATACGCATGTTTAAGTTAGCGCTCAATTAACAACTATTTCAGTAAAAATCCTGACATCCTCACCACTATTTGCAATGTTAATCAGCTACCAGCCCTCCAAACACAATAGAAGCAGTCATTTACTTGCTACTGCACTAGCTCTTTAAAACATGACAGTATATGCCCATTTAGTTATTACTTGTTCTCGAGCCTTCTCCAGTTGCTGAACAAGGTCCTCCCGTTCATGTGCTGCAAAGTGGCGAGCCCCAACTTCGTCATCTCCAAGTCTTTGCTTTGCTATTGTCATTCGAAGGAGCTGCCATTACAAAAACAGATTTGGTAAGCAAGAGAACACAGGCTATAGTGTCACAGTACATCTACATTAGCAAGAGCAAAGCTGTTATAGATCTCATCTCTTCTGGGCCAAACAGCTGGTGTTATTGAAACCAGAGGGAATTTTCTGAGCTGAGGGCTCAATCTTTTTCTCAGTGAAAACTTCCGAACACACAAACCATCAAAGGGAGCTGAATTAGACCGTACAGCAATAGACACCAGAGTATACAGAGATGAAAAACCAAATACAGACACCTGGTCAATGTTTTTAAGGAGTGACAGGATCTAATTCTGGTCAGACTAAAACCAGAAAGTTCCCAGAAAGTCATTTTCAGATGTAAATCTTAAAACTCTCTGCAGCAGAGAACTCCTCCTAGTTAAGAATAAAAAGGCACAAAGTGGCTTGCTCAGCTTCATTTTCTGGTATCACTTAAAATCCCAGTGTGCCACATCAGTGCAGAATTTGCATTAACAGCTGCTAATATATTTGCTTGTGCATTACTTTTTTCATCTATTCACAAAAGTTAATTCATGTTAAAAACAAAAAAATTGGGCCAACAACAGAAAGACCTGGCCAAATGCTAAACAACTAATGAACTCATGAGCTTTATGACTGCTGAAAACAGCCTGACTTTAATTAATACACAGTTATATTCAATATCCAAAGCAAAAAGCAACTACCTTTTAAGAATCATGAAGTATTAAAATAACAGTCTGTAAGGCATTCAGCATTTACAGTTGTTTATGCTGAGTACAACTAGGCAAAAGTGTTGCCTCCCCATGGCCTCATTTGTAGGAGCTCCACAGAGACTCAAGAAACCCACCACAATAGCCAGCCTGACCTTCCCCGTATCTTTGACTGCACCAAGGAATTAATGTACATCATTATATTGCAGAGTTAGAAAAAATCAATCTTCTGAAGTAGAAGATTGTACATTAAAATCTATCTTTGGTATTTATGGGATGCCAGTCACCATAGCTGCAATGTGCCAATTAAAATCCTGCTGATGCAAGACAGACTACCAAAATCATCCTTCCCACTTCTTTGAGCTCCAGTTCAGTGCAAGTCACTGAAGCTAGTACAACTTGTTCTGATAAGCACTTCACTTGTTCAGGGGAAGCTGTGCCCTCAAAAGTAACTGGTTTTGGCAAACTACATTTCCCTATCCCCACAGGGAAAGTACAGACCACTGCACAGTTAGTAAGGTTGAATGGATCCTAGGAGATATAATTTCTATTAATTTCTTTATCAAAACAAGTCAATCAAAAAGGCAACTAGCAAATCCTGGAATGGCTTCATAGCTATGGGACTGCTTTTTTTTTTTAATGCTAGAAGGCTGATGAACAAAAGGTACAGAAATGTGCTTTAATTCAGCTAGATTAATTCAGTTTCTAGAATCTCTTACTACAGAAAGAAGCAGTAAGAAACAAATGTAATGACATTTTGAGGAAAAATGTTCAGAATTTCTTCAGAAAAAATGGAAATTGAAGGGGAAATCACACTTTACTAATGCCTCCAATGCCTGCAGCAGAGCAGAACTTCTGCGTACACTCAGCACCAGGCTGGGAACTGGATCAGAGCTGTGACTCATGCACTATGACCAGCTCTCCTCCAGCCCAGGAGGGGGTGACGCAGAAGATGCAATTATAACTTCAAGCAATTATTATTTGCAAGGTCAAAGAAATGAAATGCCAATGAAAGGAGAACTCTCTATTTACTACTTATTTTCAGACCAAAAAGAAAAAAAAAAAAAAGAAAAAAAGTAAGAAGTCTTATGAAAAGAATGCTTCAGGAATCCAAATTCAGCCAGTAAAAGCAGCATTATAAGCATACATAAAGTAAAGTAAAATACCAATCCATAAAACGACAGAGTGCTTCTTGCAGACAGTTGGCCAATCAGGGAGTTGACAGGGCAGAACAGGCCAAGTCCTTTAATTCTGCATTGAAAATGTCTCATGAGGAATCACCACCTGCTATAAAATTCTTCCCTGAAAATGCTGTGACCCAAAGAGACACTAAGTGTTATGCCAGAGGGTTAAGGGTTTATTTCACATGTTAGTGCTATGTTATAAACTTTATACACCTGCCCTCTGGCTGCTGTATTTTTATTTCTGTCATTCAGAAATCACTGAGGAAAAGACTGCTCAAGTTCATTTTGCAGCTAGAGAACAGGTTAACGCTACCCCTCGGGATTCTGTGAACAGCAGCCACAGCAGAGTGCATTTAAATTAATGGCACCTTATCAGAGATAGCTCCTGTTTGTCAAGAACCCACGGATTGTTAACCAAAACAAGCCAGTGTTGCTAGTCACTAGTCTTAATTATTTTAATACCACAGCTTTTTCTTAATCAGTGTCCACTAAATTAATGATATATAAAATAGCAACTATGTAACAGCACCACAATGCCCCAAACAGGCTTCACTGCAATAGCTGCTGTGCAGCCTAGGAGTCCACAGACAACACCTGTGCCACGCTGTTATGTTCCTGACTAGCAATAAAACATGCAGAAGGAAAAGGGAAACAAGCACAAGCAGTAAATTCTTTGTGGAAGGCAGAAACCATCGTGCTTAGCCAGTCACTGACAGCAGCTGTCTGCACCACGGTGTCGACAAAAGCTTAAAAAGTGGACCAGAACTATGCAAACTTGCTACCTTAAGTCCCAGTTCTGCCAAGACATATGCACTACATTCAGTATTTCGCACTGCTGCTGCATGAATGATTGTCTGCCTTATAATAACAAACTGTCAGTAACACAGCAGCCATTGTTTCCCATGCATCTTTCTCTCACTTAGCACTGCCCTCGACAGCTTACAAAACCATTTCTTTGCGTGGGTAGGCGTTCAAGTGAAGGCAACTGAGTCATCTAGTCTTCCAGAAGCCTCCAGCTTCTCTTATGCTTTCTATTTTCACCCTTTTACAAGAGAGAGTTAGATTTCCTAACTATTTCTTCTGAGTTTCAGTAATTGTTCTCCAATCACTGCTGCCAGAACATTAGGAAGAAAAAAGATTTACAAATAACCATCATAAACACAGAATAGTTTTCATGTGTCAGAGCTGATAAGAGATTGTGATCAATCATAAAAATAAATAGTCTTAGGTATCTGTTGGTGGAGCGCTGCAGTCTATTGCTGTATTTCTCCAACTGAAGCAACAAATCCTTCCAGAGACTGGCTGAAGAAGTTTTATTACTTGTGGCAACAGAATTCTAGTTGAAATTAAAGGAAAAAAATAGTTCAGCTAAACCAAATGCAAGTAATTTGTTATTGCTAACTAATGACATACTTCATCTGATTTCAACAAGTAAAATGCCACTAGTTTAAAGTCTTCTTGCTAATCCAAGTGTATCCTACTAGTAGCAAACACTAAAATGGTGAAAAACAAGTCAAGGCATCAAAACATTCCCTTATCGATAGAGCTAATGTGTGATATTTAAAGAGGTTTTTTTCTTTTTTAGTCCTACAAAGCTCTTGCCACCCACTGACAAAGCCTGTATGAGTCACCCCTGCTCAGACACAGGCAGAATTGTTCATCCATAAGCAGCTTCACTTGCTGCAAAAGCAGCTGTTTGTTCATCTCTTGCCAGAAGTAAGGTTGACGTAGACCAGCTGGGCACGATGCCCTCCCTCACTTTGGAAAAAGCAGAGAGAAGAATGCAGGGGGGAAAATGTAAGAACAAGCAAATTATTATAGTTCTTTGTTTTTGTATATACCATGCATTATCTGGAGTCCAGTGCCTGAAGTAACGCAGATGCCAGTACAGGAGAACTGATGAGCAGAACAGAACGGCTTCGGGAACAAGCCTAGAATTTTATCATGGAAGCTAGGAGGGAGCAAAATCTGACACAGGAGAAGCATGTTAAATCCCTCAGAGAGATAGCAATGCTTTTTTAGGCACTTCAAAACCCAGCAACCTGACTAAAATAAGCTCTATTTCTCATTTACTAGGAAAGTGAACAATGTGTTCCAAAAATGAAAATCCTAGTCTAAATTAATCCCTGCCTGATGCAGTCCTTTCCTCCCCCTCTTTATTTAGTGATGCACTATTTTGCACCTTTGGGAAAGAGGCATGGTGGGCAGAATACCTCTTTTTGTATTTTTCCATTCATTGTGAGGATTATGAATTTAAATTCATGCTGAGAATACAGATGTCACAAAGATGACCAGCTAATACCAAGTTAACCCACAGAGGCAAATCTAAAAAAAACCAGTTCAAGCACAAAAAAGCAGGCTCTGTGTCTCCTAGACTGTATTGTTATAAGCAACTGGAATAGATGCATAACCTTGATATTTAAATATGCCTTTATTTTTACTACGTTTGTTTTCTGTTTGTACTTACAAACCCTTGTTATCTGTTCAGGACTGGCTTGGGAAAGGCTGTATGGCATAATATTGGTACTGCACAACTGCAAGGCACCAGCTTCTACACTGTAATATAGTTCAAACAATAACATGCAAATTAAAAGAAACACTGAGAAAGCTGGTCTTTGAAGACTTGAGCAAGTGACACTGAATGCTGTGCATACTACAAATTCAGGTGTTCTTTGACCCTTTCCCAGCTCCCTACACACCTTCAAGGAAGTCTTTTGTGATAAACAATGAATAAAACTTCATTATCACAATATACTTGAGTTTAAAATAAAATAAATAAAATAAAATTAACTTAAATGGAAAAAAAAACAAAATCAAAACAAAAAAACAAACCAATCATCTGAAAAATTAAAAACCGCATCATTTTTATTCACATTTTTAAATCTAGGAACTTTAAAACTGTAGTTGAGGAAGGGAAGTTATCATTCATTATTTGTTTCATTTTTTACTTCGTTAACCACCTTGACTCTCAAATTCAACCTCTCACTAGTTTGATCTCCGAATGTACTTTTGCATACAGCTCCAGCTGTGAATGTTACACACATTTGGCTTGAGTTTAAATATTTCAATTAACAGAGACAACAGGAGTTTGATTAATACCAAATGGCAGATTTTGAGCAATGTTCCATATAACTTGCTAAATTTAGCAATAAAATAAATTGGTTATATAAGGGTAATAGGGTGAGGGCTTAATACAAAGCTCACTGTATATTTGTGATCAAATACTCAATATTTTTGAAGGGAAGAATTATGCTTCCCCTGGTTTTATAATCTATTAAAATCTTGCATTTTCATTGAAAAAAAAAATAATTATCACATGATGAAGATGACATGTTTATCTGTACTTATTTGTAAGAGGAAATACTACTAATAAATTGTATTAAAAAGAAAGAATGTCTGAGAGCATTAAAGGAAGGCTAGGTGCAAAATACATAGTTAAAGACAATGGAGCAAAAGCAGCATACAAAAATGTATAATAAACTGCACTTACTTGTAACCTGTACAAGCTTCTTTTGTTCTACTGTTTTGAGCATTTACTGTAATCAAAGTATTCTAGAAGTTCTGTTACCCATTGTTTCATTTGTTTTCCTAAGAAGTAGATACAAAACTCCAGCCCAGTTTACACATCCCATGCCGTTTACTGATAACAAAATTTATAATACCTTATTGTCCCCTTGTACTTCTCCCAGTCTCTGTTGAAGCTCTCTAATCTCTTCTCCAAGATGTTTGTTTCGATCTTGAGCCTCACTCAGTAGTTGAGCAAGATTCGCCTAGAAAACAGTAAATATCAATCAGAAGTTAGTGCCTATGGAGAGAAGCGTAAGTGGTGATTGAAAAGAAACCCTAGACTTACTCATCTGCCAACAATCTTTACTTTTATTTTTGTTGGTACCCAGACTTCATGCTTCATTAGAGAGCAAAAATCACCAGGGTTCCCTTATCTTTAGAGTAGGGAATACATACTGCACACAAACCCCAAACAAGACAAAGGGGAAACATCTATGCTAGTTCTGGTATCTTGATGTCTTGGCTGAAGGGAAAAGCAAAATACAGAGTACTTTGACAATATTTATACAAAGTTGCCAAAATAATAGTTTAAAACTTGCATATAACTAGACAAAAGGCACAGCTGAGAAATAATTATTATATAATTAAATTCCTTTATAGTGCTTAGAGCAGATTCCCAGCCAGTAAAGAGGATGCCAGCCAGAGTCCCTACCCCTATATGGTGCTGTACCATGAATATCTAGTAGCACAACGCTTCAAATGTGACCTGACTTGTGTTGCTAGCTAGTATGTAGATATCTGGAAAAATAAAGGTGAAAGTTAGAGATTAATAAACAAACACCCACACCACCCCCCTCCCCACCCAAATAATCCAGGTCAAAAGTTACCATACACATTAACCTACTGAGTTAGGATGGCAAGGGGTCTAGACTATAATTTTACAATGACATTCCATCAACTTGATCACTAACAAAAAAACCCCAAATGCAACCTCCTCCTTTCCTATGTATGATATCTGAAAATATCATAGTAAATACTACAGATAAATTGATTGTATTTCACCCTAAAATACCTCACAAATACACAAACAGTGACCCAGCACCTACTACTGATATCTCTTCAGAGAGATAATCACAGTGGCTAACGTGCAGCCTTTCAAGACACTGCCTATGGACAGCTAGGTGTGTTGTCCGTTGCCATAAATCTGAAGAGTATAAAAAGAAATGCAAAAAGAATTTTCAGATCTTCTAAGCATGACTTGGTAAAGCTCCACGAGTGAATATTTTTAAGCTATGTACTCCCTGGGTTTGAGGCCAACGCATCAACTGATTGTTCCTAGCCCTCTCTTGATGTTTTAGGTTCAGTTTTGGATTCCCTACTTGCTGTGCTTCTCTTTCAACTGACCTGTTTCTCTATTTTCATCTCTCTCTTCCTTTTCCAGTCCTGCTCTTATACCCAGTCATTCTCAGTACCATTTGACAGTCTCATAGGATGTATTTGTGAGGTTTACATTTAAAACAAGGCATCTAATAGCCATTCCTGCAATCTTTTGCCTTGTTTACTAACAACTGCTATTTCCACACATCCTGTTTTATAATTAAGAAAACCATTAACATGAATATATTAACATGAATATTAATACACATATAGCTATGCATGTATCTGAGCATTTGCAAGATGAGACTACTAAATTATTAAACTACAATCAAGTGGAACTTTGGTATGCTACTATATGAAGAAGCTGGCTTCAAATTCCCACTGTCCTAAACCAACAGTAGCTTCAAACTTTAAACAGGAAAAATAACTCAAGAAACTATATACCCTGATGAACAACAAGCCTAATTCACTGCTATAGCTTCTGTACGTCTGGTGCTTCGAGCTCAAAGGTTCAGAAGAAAGTAAGCTAAGTTTCCCACAGTTTTGGAAGAGATTGAAGTATTTTTTAAACCATTGATAAACCAACCTAAAGACTGCAAGTAAATAATTTGGGAAAAGAGTGTAATAGCAAAAAATGTAAATAGCCAATTACAGGGCCAAAATTAGGCTGCCTCTAGTTTTATTTCCAAGACACCAACCATTCAAGCAATGCAAAAGGTTCTTCAAGTATGCTTTGGTGAAATGATTTTATTTTTTTCTACATGCTCAACAAATGTGTAAGATTCAGGTACTGAATGAATCCAGGAGTTTCAGAACACAGTCAGTCAACAGTTTTGAGAGGTACTTCTTAACGGCTGTTTAAAAGAAAGAAAACAAAGAACGTGTTTGCAGGAAATTGCATTTAAACTGAAGTACCTATGGCTATTGCTCAGATGCCTTTTATTTAAAAAAAGAAGGTGACTTTCAGTAAAGAAGACAGTCAAAAGGAACATGATTTGCACAAACCTCTCTGAAACAATTCAATTTATAAAGTCCCTTTTTATGATGAATTTGAACAATTCTTAACAATGCAATAGCACATGTAATTTCAACACCTGTAAAGAACTCAAACTCACTAATCAGTGTTTACAGCCATACCACCAGGATTCTAGCAGTCTGTAGTCAAAACTCAGCTCGCAGTAACTGCAGGAAGGGCATTACCATGCCTATACTAAATCTTCCTGCTCAGATTTATTTCCTTTAAAACCATTTCTCTGGGATTGCAATTCTATGCTGAATTTTATTTGTCAGTCATATAAATGACTTAATGTGACAAAAACCTTTATACCCGAGATAGGGATTTTGGAAGAAACTTTAAACAAAGAATTTTAGATGCAAAAAAAACCCAAAACAGCCTCATCTAAGCATGCTAAGAGCATTACAATGAGCTAAGAACAGAGTTACTCCTTCATGCAAAGCTTCCATTATACTTCTGTTAAACTAAAACAACCAAGCTATGTCACAGAAGTAGTCTCCAGCAATTACTCATTTCCCTGGCTTAGAGGTTCCATACAACATATAATTTAGATTGTTCTGAGTTTTAAAGGTTTTGGCAAGTCCTCATTAAAGCCCTTGTTTGAATATGGATGGAAGCAGAAATACTGGAATTTCAGAAGTGCTCTAGTGGGCTTAAAGGGAACCAGCCAAGAAGATATGTTGAGCGACACCTGGACTTGGTACCATTTCTTTGGCATATATAAGAAAACATACCATATGGTTGAAAGATGATAAAACTAACAATGGAGGACTGGCTTCATGAATCTGTAAGCATGTATTTTTTGAGTAAAGGGGAGAAACCTATGCAAGGAGAATGGCAATTCATTTTTCCACCTGGCAACTTCTTTCAATATTCATAGAACAAACACAGAATTCACTTAGAAATTCAAGACAAGTTACTTCAGCAGACAATAATGCCCGTATCTGTGCAACAGAGAACAACTGTCTGAAGATCACCCGAATTCAGCTTCTCTAGACTCTACTTCTTCAAGAGTTTCTTTTGATTCTAGGTGAAGCCTTAAAAAGACTCCTGTAACTGTCAGAGACTTCACTTCTTTCACTCACAGTATTCAAAACTAACTCCAAAGTATTGATGAAGAGAGATTTCTGAGCCATGGGCAGGGGGAGGGAAAGACACAGAGGTCTACACATTTCTGCTGCTTTATTTTGAGTCTGCAACAACCCACAGCAGTGGAAACTGTTTCTCCTACCCTCTCTCAATGCAACTGCTTGTAATACTAAATAACAGTGCTTCATTCACGTCTGTGATTAACTGCCTGGTATCACAGTCTTTCCAGAGCTCTGTCCACCTCTGGCAACATTCAGTTTCCAGCAGATAATCTTGAGCCCTTGTAGCATGACAAGCTATTTTTTTTACATCCATCTGTCATGGAAGCTTGCATGTATTACAGAATCACAGAACGTCTCAAGCTGGAAAGGACCCATAAGGATCAGCGAGTCCTGCCTCTCGCATGACCAGCTAAAACTAAACCATATGACCAGGAGGGTTGTCTAGATGCTTCTTGAACTCCAACAGGCTTGGTGCCATGACCACTTCTCTGGGGAGCCTGTTCCAGTGACCCACCACCCTCTCAGTGCAGAATGACTTGAGCACAGTCCAAACCTCCATTGCAGTACTAGACATAAGAAACTGTACCCATATTCCTTTTCCTTCTGACCAAAATCAAGTGCAGCCATAGCCAACGATCCCACCAGAAGCTAGGAAGAAAGAAGAAAAAGATTGATGTGACAGTGCCAAGTGGGAAGGTCATACCTTTATTAAATAAGCAGGAAAAGAACACCATAAATCAGAATAGACCAGAGAGTGAAAGATTCAGTGGGATGGAAGCACAGACCTCACCCTTTTCCACTTAGACTTTGTTAAAATCTGCAAGAATGTTTTTGGGATAGAGGATGGAAGAGAACCTTACTTCCAGCTACAGATGAGCATCTGAAACTACTGATGAAAATACCTATAAATATTTATTTGCATTACCCAGTGAATACCTGTCAGACAGCAACAGATCTTTGCTCACTATTGACCAATGACCCAAGAAGACAGGGAAAATAAAAAATAACTCCAAATAGTCATCCCTGGCATTATGCACTACACCTGAATTTGGCTTCTTTAACAATTTTGCAAATCTAGCTACATATACACACAGTGTTATTTTTCTTCACACCACTTTAAAAATGATGGATAGTAACACAGACTTTAATATAGCTCTCAATTCTCTTGCACATAAATCTTATCTGACATGTTAAAAAAAAAGAGAAAGAATTAAAAGAAAAAGACTTTCCTTTCTGCCTTTAGATACTGCCTGAAAAAGTAATTTGGTAAAAGAGGAAAAGAGGAAACTTCCAACATACCTTTACAGTTTAAAAATATTTTAAAATACAAACAAGCATTGCTATGCTGCAATTTACAGGCTTTTATGTTTCTTTCAGCCACACCTTCAAAGAAGAGCACTGAATTATAGGGCTGACAGAAAAAAAGTTGGATGAAACATTAAGCACACTTGATGGGTGTGACTGATAGCAAATTTAATTGCAGTTTCTCCTCCAATGCATTCATATGATTGCAATGGCTGAATTAATATAGAAAAACCTGCTTTGCTTACCAACTACCACTGTTCACTTCAAGGTGTAAGAACTGACAACCTCCCGTAGCACTAGCTTCCTTACAATAAAAAGCAAAAATTATTGTAGTCTTCTCTTTAAGTTGAAAAACCATGTAGAGAAGACCTCTGAAATTATAGGTCCTGGGCATACTAAACAAAATACACTTAATCTGGGTCATGTTTCCCCACAGGAAAACAACAGCAAAAATCAAAACCTTGCCAAGCAGTCACTTTGCATAAAACAATAAAGGAAGAAGAAAATCCTCTCCTCTGAGTATACGCCACTCTGAGAATCAGGCAGGAATCCCTCCACAGAAGCACACCCGCCAAAACCTGACAAGGCTCTGCAAAAGAAGACAGACTCGCTTGTACTCACATACCTTCAAGGCACTCAGCAATCAGAAATTTTATAGAGCTGATTAATAGAACCAAAAAGCCATTCTAGCAGTAGACATATAAAAGGGATGCTTTTCCCTCCCTCTCAACATGTCTTCTGTGTGTTAGATTAGCAGCGTTGTACAGGACCAAACATCTCCCAGCTGGACCTATGGCATTTGCTGAAGGCTGACAAACAAAATGAGGTTAACATCAACTACAGACTTCTTTATGAGGCCAGATTTTGAAAAGCAACTTGTTAACATACATTATAAGCAGCTACCGAGGGTGTCAGTATGAACTACCAGTATATGAGAAGAATTTACTTGGCAGAAATTCCCTCCCTGTGAAGGTTCAGTAAGATACTTCGGTCCCCCCATACTTCCTAGAGGCATCAAGTTTTAGCTTGCGGCCCAGCTTGGACAGAAGGATTTGATGAGCTGATCTCAAGAGCTGCCTTCCCACCTCAGCCATTCTGTGATCTTGTGATGTTTAGTTCCATTAGTTCCTCATACATTTGAAATACAAATATAAGCCCTCACCAGTGAACATACACATTGAGGCTTTATTTTTGACACACAGCCCCACTGCAAACCCATTATCTTCAACTGAGTGGTCTCACTGAGATCAAATTAAACAAAGCATATTTAGGACTGTGGCCCAGCACAGTCATTTTCCTAAGCATGCATTTTACTTCACCTTTGTTTATTCAAAGGATCTCGTTTGTATTAAAAGAAATTCCATTTCATATAGAAGGTCAAAGGATTCACAAATCTGTTATTTCAACAACAAATCTTCTCCCAAACTGAAATTATACTGAAAAGTTAAGCAATGAAAATGAAAATAATAGTATAAATCAAGCTAGAAATCCCACCTATGATTTTTTTTTTAAGTTTCTCAGCATGGCAACACTGTCCAGCAGATACCCACTATTTTTTTGCCAATGTCATAAAAATAGTCTGTATCACAGCAAATGCTGCAGACAGAGCAACTCAGAAAGAGGAGTGTCTATTGTTTACCACTTCTGGTGAATTTTAACATCAAAATCCATTCTTCATTATTCCTATACTCCTGAAACATTTCACCCCTCCATCACCTATCCAAAAATTACCCTATACCTGACACCACAAGACATTCTAAAACTACCTTCAACTGCAGCATTTAATTGTGAATGTTTGGTAAGAGGGGCCAGGAAAGCACCTAACAGCTCATGGGCTGTGATAACAACACTAATGGTAAAACACCTTCTGCAGGAAAAGAGCTCTCAGTAGCACAGTTTCTCATATTCTGCTCTAGCCAGTTGGCAGATGGTGATACACACGAAACAATCCTTGGATAGAATCATCATAGAATTGCTTAGGTTGGGAAAGACCTTCAAGATCACCGAGTCCAAACCAATTATGTCAGAAATGGGTGTCACTGCACACACAGCTTTGAGAGGGATAATACTGCAGAGCACTGCATGTTGAGATACCTGTAAGTAACATCAATTTTGCAAAACCACATTCTGACTTAACTGCTTGCTGATTGAAATTGCCTGGTTACAGTCAATTCCCACACAGAATACGGAAATTCTCTGTTGCAAAACAGGGAGAGAAGGCACGGTGTGGGAAAGAAGTCACAAAGCATAATTGTTAATTCTGCAGGTGAAAAATTACGACATGAAGGAGAAGAAAGTAGCAATTCCAACCCACCTATTACCTTTAGGGTTCTAGATTGCAATTTCAACAATAATTTCTCAGTTCTGGTAAAGAAACGTAAGAGATGATAGCAAATTGTTCACTATGTTTTCATGTCATTTCTGACTGTGAAAACAGCAAGTCATACAAAATTCATTATAAGATTAGGGTCTCTCCTTTATGAAGTGACTGAAGCCACAAACTTCTCCCAGCAGGCAACTAAGCTTCTGGGCAAAAAGGCAATGGAAAAAAATGCAGAGGAGCACAAACAACTTCACTCTTTCTTAGATGATAAAATACTAAGAAATGTACATAAAGTAACAATGGGAAAATATTAATTACTCGATTTTATTATTCTTTGATGCCTTTCTCAAAGCAAAACTATACTCTTCTTCAGATAGGTTGCCCTAACTATGCCAGATTATCCACCTTGATGCTGCAGGCACACTTCTCAGGAAAATGAAAACTCAAGAAGTACAGTAACAGCCTAAAGTATATATTGTCCTTAGAGAAAACCCATAAATGACCCCATTGGAGAGTAAGATTTTCTTTCTTTCACTGTTACCTACCATGAATACATAACTTCCTCAGGGGAAGAAAAAAAACCAACAAAAAACCTCTCTCCTAGTTAGATCATTAAATGGGTTTCCCAGCACTTATCACAGAATCACAGAATGGTTTGGGTTGGAAAGGACCTTAAGATCATCTAGTTCCAACCGCCCTGCCATGGGCAGGGACACCTCACTTACCATGGTAAGATCTGTCAAAACTTAATATAATCACAGCTTCTGAATTTAGACTAAATTTTGCTAGTATTTTAGAAACAAGTATCAGATTTATTTGTTTTGAAAGATGGAAGATGAATTAGAACTATATCCGTGGAATGGAAAATCTCCCTTCCTACTTATCTCTGTAATGACCCATGTACTGCATTGTTGTTGGGCTTTTTTTTCCTTTTAATTGTACACAGCTCCACTTTTAGTAGTCAGAATGCATAAACCTGTATCTGGTCATAAACTTTTATTGGTTGTTGAAATAACAGGATTTCAAATAAATTATGCTAAATAATGAGGAAGTTAAATGATTCTATACTGAGCCACCGACTTCTTGGCAGCAATTTGTTTAAGTGCCTGAAGGAGTAATTATATTGCCTTTGAAAGTTAAGTTTAAAACAAGAAAAATGCTAAGCTCCTAAAATGTTAAGAAAATAGTAAGAACTACATGCAAACTCCAGGGAAAGAACGATGAGTAAAACTTCTGATCAGTCAGAGAATGCAATAACCGTGTTTTACATATGACTAAAAGACTTTCAGGACTAGCAATTACAGTAACAATTTGTGTTGCTTTGGGTTGTTCCCCTCTCCCTGCTCACACACTGTGTTTTGGATACCATTTTTCTCTAAAAATGAAGATAATGTTAAGATGTGACAACCAACATTCCACAACAGGGACACACTACTTGGATCTCTGGGAACAAAAAAAACCCCACACAAGCGAGCAGGCAAAAAGTTTTTCAGCTAAAGCATAAAATGCAATTACCATTGTTCTTACCATTTATAACTCACAGAGCCCAAGTGACCTGGGAGAGTACCTAATGGAAAACAGTACTCACAACAATAAATTAACAATTATGGAATGCAGACAGTGCATTCCCAGATTGCTTTTAAGTATGAAAAGTCCTGTCACAAACCCATTCTAGGACTTAATACAAGGATAAACAACAAGGAGAGCAATCTCAAGGGTCTGTACACTGACCAATTTCAGTCTCAGGTGAACATAAAAGCAATGGCCATATATTCAAATTAATGATAGTTCAGCTATTTCAGAGTAAAACATGTTTAGACAAAAGCACAAGAAGCCACAGTTTAAAAACCGAGGTTTTCAGACAGAAATGCTTGTTTTTTACCAGAATTCTTAGTTAATATTTTCACACTTATGCCAAGAACTTCTGTAGCAGATAAATAACGTCAACTGAAAAATAAATCCTACCTGTTTCCTCTTCTCAGGTGGAAGGGATGGATCCCCATCCTATAAATAAATGGACACATTTTATTGGCAACTTATTTCTGAAGCCAGCAACTGTATTAACTTTCTGGATCAAATTTTGAAACATATTTAAACTGAGAAGTTATCAGAATCGTTTCTAAAATACTGCATTTTGATTAACACCAGTAGTATTAATTTCAACTCAAAAAAACTCTCTAAGGCTGAAGATTTGTTTACATTTCTAGAACAGCAGGTCATTACAAATTTATGTTGCATTATTTTTCATAACGGTACATTAAGTTGCTGTGGAATAATAATACTGCAGTCAGTTCTTAAATAGAATTACGACTGAAACTAATTTCCTCAGATCACGCACTGTCTTTCTGTGTCTTATGTAACAGGCACTACCTCATCAGTGTGGAACAAATGAGTAATAATATGATCATGACTGTACAACTGCAGGACTACTGTAAACAAGCACCTTCACATTTTTACAGCAGTCATTATGGACTTCTTTCCAATTTTTTGAGGTTCGCCCCGGCCCCCCACTTATACAGTATTCATAAAGAACAACCTACAATCAACTCCCGATACTTCTTTTTCAGAGACTGATGTCTTTCCCGCAACTGGTTGGCCATAAGCTTGTACTGATCTCTTTCTTGCTGACAGGTATCCAGCTCTTTGGATAGGATTAGCAATGCCTCCTTTTTGCTTTCGAGCTTCCTTTTGCAGACCAGATACTGCAGAAGAGAAAAAAAACAAACGTGTAATTGTAACAAGCCATTTCTACTTTGGCCCATACTGGATTTGAGAGGCTCAAGTATTTGTCCAAGAAGATGGAAGACTCTCTGCATGAGATCAAAGTCTGCCATGAGTTGTCTTAGCTTACTGATAAAATCATGGGCTTGTTGTATCAGAAGCCTGAAATCCATTTGTAAGGATTGCTTACCCAGCCACCATGAATTAGAAAAAAATCAGCAATTCAAGTTTCTCTTCTTTATCTTCATAAGCATGAGGAATGTATGAGAACTTCACAATTTGACCTGTAGTCCTGGGAGGGATACTAGAATAAAGATGCCTTTGCAAACTCCCTTTTCTACTTATGTCCACAACACCTAGATGTTAGCAGTCAGCATGTCCCTCTTCCCTCCTCATCCTCCCTGCTATGAGCGATGTCCTCTGAGCTCAGCCTCCCACCTGGACAGTGAAACAGGACCATGTTACAGCAGAAGGGGCAGCGCAAGTGACAACCAAAATTTACCTTTACTCTGAAACAACTGCAGTGTGGTACCCTACTGGCACACGTGAAAGAAACTTATTCAGCTGTGATACTACATGCACGTGCTTGTTGAGTCAACAGAATGGAAAATGCAGGAATATTGCAAAAACCTGAATGGAGAGGGAAGGCAGAGGTGAGCCTCCTCTGCCAGCCACCACCTCTTATGCATAAGGCTCACGCACAAAGCAAAGCTGAACTTGCAAATCTTAGCTGTTCTGCAGTAGTCTGGTCTGCTTCATTGCCTTTCCTCACTGAGAGAAGGGGAAAGTAACGTGTATATCATCCCTTCCTGCAGTGGCTGAATGCTAGCTATCAGAAGTTTCAGGCAACTTTTTTTCACTTAACATGATGTTCAATCAGCAGATTCTTCTTACCCATCACTTGACATATATGCTAAAGCATATATTTCTATTTCTGATGTTACTCACATAAGACATGGCACTAAATACTTTCTGAATGTGCACTGCAAGAGACCAAATATCACAGCAGTCATGAAAACAATTTATAGTTCCATTATATTCTCTGACAAGAATACTTTGTCATTATAGGCTCTTGCACAAAGCAAGCGCATCAGCACTTCCATACTGTTCAAGTCAGTGCTGTTCTTTGGGACAAAAATCGTTACTCGTATGTACTACTTGCTTGGAATTGACTTTGTTAACAGCTATTTCAAGTCAATGAGAAAGGGAAAAGCAAGTTCGGTATATTAGTACAGCCAACGTTTTCCAAAAATGGTAAATGCTTAGTTGCAAAAAAGCAGGAAGGGAATGAGAAAAGCCATTCCAAGAAGGATCTGAACTCTCAAAAAGGACACTTCCACCTTGGATTAATTTTATTTCTGGCAATACTGAAGTTGAAATCCTGCCATAAATTTTCTGGATTATGATGCCTTGGCATCAACAAAGGCAACTGTACCTATGTACTTATGTCCTTACTGATACCTTACACAAATGTCAAGTCCCCTGATAAAGCACTGAAAGGTATCAGACACTAAACTTTAATATCGTCAGCAAGCGATTATAGTGACACACTTCTGTGTCACTGTAAACTGCTTCAAATTTGATAAATAATTCCTTCCCTTACAGTGAAATATTTGCCTCTGACAACCTCTCCTCTTTTTTTCCAGTTTCATCTCATATCTTAGTCAATTCTAAAACATACCTTCACAAAATTGTGTCTGATCCAGTAATTGCAAATCTGATCCAGTAATTGCAAATAAAAAGGAGTAGAAACAAACCTCATAATTACTTATAAAAAAACCCCAAAACAAACAACAGAAAACAACAGCCTTAAACCCCTGTCCCAAGTAGCCTGTCCAGTTCCTTCAACTGGAATGAAGAAGGCCCATCCAGCCAACACCTACCTGGAGCAGATCAGATGATATAATGTACACAATGGAAGAGAGCAAAGCTAAACATCTCACCTTCCGACACCCACACCACCAGCTCCCAGCCTTGCCACAAGTGCTGGTATGTGAAACAGTGCACAAGAGAAATGGAAGCTAACTAGAGCATGTGGATATGACTATAAAAATAATATTTGGCAAGCAGGAAATGCAGACCTAGTGCTAAACAAATCTTGCTTCTGCCATGAGTCACAGTCCTTCACAAAGGACACACTCAAAGCATAAAAGAAGGCTTCACCTTTCACCACAGCTCTGGCAGGAGCAAGGGAATTCTTCATTATCTATTAGGTTGAGAATAATGAACCATAAGCAGATTGTGGGCAGTTGTGTTCAGGGTCTAAATGAAAAGGAATAATGATCTCCTCTTTGTTTAAAGTATATTTTAACTTGGATGAATTATAAACTGATGATGTGCCATATAGAAGGAAGGGGCTTGGTATTTCTCATCAATGTTCTGTTTGGATTTTACTAAAAAAATGACCACCTAGAAAACTTTCTGAAGCCATTTTTGCTTTTTACCTAGATTGACTTTCCCAAATAAATAGGATAAAAATAGTGATAATGTAATCTGTTTCCACAGGGTTGCGATACAAGAAACAATAAAACCACAGCATTTCTGTGGAATTTGATTATTCAACAGAACTATGTTTCCAATTCCCATTACCATTTTTGAAGGAAAACCAAATTTTACAAAGACAGGTCTCAAAGACGTTATTCAATATATATGCTTCTGAATGTTAAAATAAATAAATACATAAAAACATGAATAATGTCCATAAGGTGACCTAACAACTGTTCACCAGAAATGGATTCTGCCTGAGTCCCACCAACAATTTCTCATATATGGACAAGTAAGTGCAGCAAAATTGGTATGCTGCCAAAATGTACATAGGACTTTAACAGTCTTTTTGGAGCTATGGGCACAATAAGGAAAATTTTCTCACATAGTCTGAGAAAAAAAATATTCAATAGATGCTTCTGGCATTCACATAGAAATTTCTTACTCTGCAACTGAGGGAAAGCCTATGTCTCATGTACTGTCTGTCAGAGAGATAAACAAGTGAACTCTGTTATGCACTGTAGTTACTAAAAAATATTCTTACTGTCTTTTGTTTCTTTTCAACTGATGTTCCAAAATAACCTTTGAGTTTAAAAACCAAAGTCAACCAAGAACCAGCTGCTATACTTTCAATCTAAAAGCTACAATGTACAACTTTTTGTACCTGTCTTGTGACTTTTATCTACCAACTTGCTGTTATCTGCAATAAAGCAAATTATAATTGCTACAATGAAGAACATCATAATTAAAGGAATATATGTGACATCCTTCATTACTGCCTGAACTGCTTTACAGCCAGATGACTACTTCAGTGAAATTGAGTAAAAAGAGACTGACATTACAGGAGAGTGTAACTGCTCCAAGGTGACCCTCTACATCAAACTCTTACTATTTGTCCATTGCTATTTTTAGTGCCAAATCTGCATAGATCTCATTAATGACGTTGTAGACATGGTCTAATAATCTGATGAAGCTGGGAGAGTCACGGTTTAAGACTTGGGATTTTTTTAAAACAACAAACACACTGAATTCCTATCACAAAATAATTTATCTTAAATTTGTACAAATTACTGGTCTATACCTGGGTATTTAATGGCAATTAGAAGGAAAATATCTAATTTTCTGAGGGTAAAAGCAGAGATACTATCTCCAAACTGTGCTTTGGAATCACTGTGGATCATATTCTGTGTTCTCTCAACGCTCCAGGACCTACTATCCTCCCAAATGCCAATGGGCCACTTCCCTATACATGGGCATGGAAACCTATCATCCACCATGCTCTCAGAGAAACCATGAACTCTACTCACCATCTTTTGAACAAGAGATCCAACTGCTATAGAATTCTCTGAAGTTTTATCAAAGTTCTCCTCACTGCACTCTTGGAGGCAATTTTGTTGTGGAAACGACAAACTGAAGAGTCCCAAAACGCACTGCAACATTACTACCTGGGTTGGTTTTGGGCTGTGTTTCAGTAACATTGCTCCCTTGGACTTCAGATTAAACCTCAACTTACCTGAAAGAGTCAAGCACTCAAATCCAGAGAAACACATAATTACTGGTCTTTTGCCTGTCATCTCATCTCATGTCCTCATCTCTGATAAAGCCTGAGACAATGCGGTGTCCTTGGTTTTATCCCACAATATCAACTCTGCTTTTCCTGCTGCCCAGGGCTTGCTTCACTAGCTACCTCTTGATTCTGAAGCACAAAGCAGGCTGGTATCATTCACTGATGATGTAACTGAAATAAGCAGCTCCCTGGAACACCACATCTTGATGACAATATTACACCACATCATCTTCACTGGTCACTTAGGAATTACCATCATTTGATTAGTCAAAACAACACTATTTTGTAATGTGGCCCAACCCTCCACAGTTTTGTATGCTGTGCACTGAATTACATTATTAATTTATTCGTATTTGTTCCTCAACACCCTGTGAGTATCTTAGTCCAACATGGAAACATGAGAAGCAAACACTTGTTTTGTCATGTGAAAGCCCAGCATGCAGGTCTCTGCAGCCACTCTCCCATAGCTCCTGAGAACTCTGGAGGGCAGTGCCAGCTCCTTTAGTGTTTCCACTTCCTTTTCCAAATGACAAAGGTGTTACAATGCCAACCCAATCACCTAGGGACCTCGGAGCATCCGCTCTACTTTGTTCTTCCCTACAGCCACTGGCATTTGCCTGCATTTAGAAAAACTCTGAAATTAGTGGCTCCAAAGCCTGTCAGGTCCCCCCATATAGGTTTGGTGAACTATATTTCATTCTCTGTTTGAAAAGGCAACATGACAGAAAGTTAGAGAGATTTCACAAATGTGAAAATCTCACTGGTTTTAATTCCTCTTCTCTCTTGTCCACATGAAATTGTGCAACCTATAGGAAAGGTATGCTCTGTCAATTACAAGCAGGTTAGGTTTCTCACTCTTACTCAGAATTCATGTCTGGAACATTCAACTATTTTAACTAGAACTACTGCTCAGTAGTTGAGTGTTTGATA